CTTTCACACTGCACCAAAGTATGGCAAAAAACCTATCCGATATGTGACGCTCCACTTTCGAGATCGGCGTGGCTCAGCTTCGCTCCAGCAAAGAAATCGCGCCGCCACAATCGATCAACTGCTGATTTCAGAGACGATTTGGTGCAGGGTATCGGTATTAGACAAATAATTTTGTCATAATGCTTGCCGGTCCAGTCTACATACATAGGGTTTTAAAATGAGGAAAAGCAGGCTTAATATAAGATGGGCGGTGCATAATTTATTCATTTACGACAAATTTGCCTCTCATTTTTGTACTTTTTTTTATTTTGGTTTCGACTGAGTCTTAATTTTTATAAAGCTGATAGGTTCTATGGCCGTGTTACTTTCACTATGTTTCTATACCGTCCTATCTACAACATAGCCGAGAAACCGGGATGCATTTTCTTTTCACTAATAGCACTGTGATAACATCTTAACTTGGGAGCACGCTTCATCAAAAATGATAATGGACGAATGTCAAGACACCAATAAAACTGTTGTGACGTTTGCCAAATTAACGAAGGAACCTCTTTTTGCTTTTAGCGTGATCACGCGTAAGGAGAGAGCGATTGCTTAATTGATAAACTTAAAAGAAGATAATTAGTAAAAATACAGAGTTCAGAGAGCTGAAATTAAACTGAACAGAGAACAGCTCAGTAAAGGATGAAATGATATATTAAACTTTGTTTTCGAGAAAAAGAAACCAAATAATTCTGCATGTAATTCACCTGTTCATTTTAATTCTCTAAGTTTGTGCTAATTTATTGCAAAATAAATGCAAAAAGTCGAACTCTGACAACAAAGCAGTGTATTAAGAGAATATTGGACATGGATATAATCGGTAAGTTTTAAGTCCAACGGCCCGAAAGAAGTTATATCACTACTTAAGTGCGATGAGTTCTTTACGTGTTTTCGTTTTGTTCTTCGATAGTCAGAGATACATATGATGTGAAGCAAAATTTTAATGGGATATGAGTTTTGGCGGATTTCGAGGATTTTCTAAACGGATGCATGACATGAAGGCCAAAAAAATTAAAATGAAATAAAGCCGCGAAATCTCACTCCCCCAACCATCCGACGACCCTGTTTAAAAAGCGTTATGTTAGAAGCATTATGCCTAGATATTATAATGGAGATCTTTTTTCTCTTTAACAAGCTACTAGTACGAATTTTAAGTTTCAGTTCTGTATATTCCCAGAACTAACTCTGTTTCCTGTCGTTGATTAACACAAAAAGTGCAGAAGCCAAAAAGGATAGGCGGGATGGTATAGCAGGTGTACTACCTCAAAAGTGATGATCAAAGGCAGTCCACACGGACTGCGTTTAAAAACGGCCATGCCTGTACTTGTAGTATCGTCAGAGTAGTCTTATCTAAAGGTTCTTATTAAGGTAGAACCTGCAAGCCTTGAAAAGTTTCTGGCATTAAGTGTTTCATTTTGTTTTTGGTTTATAACGGATGAACGAATGGCAAAGGGGATACTAGCGCCGCCGTAGCTTTGAACTCCATTTCGACGATTTATGACAAACGGAAAATATGAACCAACATCCCCTACGAATTGCCATATCACTTAAGAATCGTTCCTAAAATACGGACAATGTACATGTCTTTATCCACATGCAAAAGTTGTTTTCGCATTGCGGAATACACGAGTCATAGCAAAAATTTGATTCCGCTAAACGCAAACCGGTAAGGCGCGAAATAAACTCCCGCTTAATTTTCACGCCAGAAGACATTCCTCAGTTGCTTTTAATTTTCCAGAAAAAGAGAACCCGAACTCGTACAAGTAAGCCTTCTTACAGGTAGCTTATATCCATGCCACCGGTCAAACAGGAAAGAGGGAATTCAAAATCAATGATCGAAAGCAGTGATCAATAGACAAATTTTAGCTTTCTATCGTCTATTACGAAGAAAAACGAAAGAACGAAACGCTTAACTTATTGTTTATTGTTTGCCATAATATTTACAAAACAAGAAATAAGTTCTTAAATATTAAAAAAGCTAATGGCGAGGCCACGTGGGCTTATAAGGAATAGGCACCCTCATTAATTATTCTGACTAGGTAAAGAGAACATAATTTTTTCGCTCAGGTTACAGGTGACGTTTTTTTCTTTAATTAGTATTATTTTACCTGATGTATCACTTGCCATAAATAAGAGTAAATGCCTAATTCCCATTTTGCGATACATCAATGCAAGTTAACTTCTTTATTCGTGTGGATATTATTTGGAGTGCTCGGAAGAACACTCGTCAAGGCCGTTTATCGGAAAACTGAGACAGAATCCTTTTATTGTTTCCAAATAATTTTATTGTTCTCTCTTTCTCATGTTTTCTCAGCAAGACTGCTCCTCACATTAACACGCTGTTTGTTTGCATTCTATCAAGGAAAACTTCCTGTAAAAAGAAGGATAATAACCGTCACTGTAACACTGAGGGAGAATGAAAGAATGCTTGATCGTTTCTGAAAAAGAGCAAAGAGCCTGGGTTGCAGCTTTTGTCATCGAGTCAATTGTCATCTTTCTACTAAATGCTTTCACTCTCGCCATCTACATAAGAAACCGTCACTTACGCAAGCGCAGTACGTACCTGATAATAAATCTGACTGTGGTTGATTTACTGGTGGGAACAGTGGCAGGACCTTCGATGATATTCGAACCAGACAACCTGGAGAAGGATGTGGGTCTTGAACAAGATTTTAGTTGGCAATCATTCGTTTATTTCACATTACAGGGGCTTTTTTTAGTTGCTTCATTAGTTAATATTTCATTGATTTCTCTAGAGAGGTTACACGCAACACTTTTCCCCTTTAGGCATTGTCTTGTTGGAAAAAGGGTTTACCTAATCATTATTTTGTGTAGTTGGTTGTTTTCCTTGATTTTGTCATCTGTTATCGTCCTTCTTGATTTGCGCCTATCGCCTGCACATCTGTATGTCATTTTGTCGTACTCTTTTCTCTCCCTTCTCATTCTCACAGTTTCATATGCTATAATCATCTCAACTGTCAAAAAAAATCCTCTCTCGCCTAATGCTGGACCAGTTCTTTCAAAAGAAAGGAAACTAACGGTGACTTTATTCATAGTTACTGTGGTTTCTTTTCTGACCATTCTTCCTTGGATTATTTGGACTGTTATCCACTACCACATATGGAGTAAAGTACATGTATGCCTTGCAGTACTTGACCGCATCAGAGACTCGTTTCATGTACTACATTTTTTCAGTCCTATAGTCAATCCCCTAATATATGCAGTAAGAATGCAAGAGTTTAGGAAAGCAGCCAGAAAATGCTTTTGATTTAAGACACTAGAACTAGCGCGAGTCCAACCCATGGAACCTCTTGCATTGCATGTACGTACTCAAGCAATACCTNTGTTTTCTCAGCAAGACTGCTCCTCACATTAACACGCTGTTTGTTTGCATTCTATCAAGGAAAACTTCCTGTAAAAAGAAGGATAATAACCGTCACTGTAACACTGAGGGAGAATGAAAGAATGCTTGATCGTTTCTGAAAAAGAGCAAAGAGCCTGGGTTGCAGCTTTTGTCATCGAGTCAATTGTCATCTTTCTACTAAATGCTTTCACTCTCGCCATCTACATAAGAAACCGTCACTTACGCAAGCGCAGTACGTACCTGATAATAAATCTGACTGTGGTTGATTTACTGGTGGGAACAGTGGCAGGACCTTCGATGATATTCGAACCAGACAACCTGGAGAAGGATGTGGGTCTTGAACAAGATTTTAGTTGGCAATCATTCGTTTATTTCACATTACAGGGGCTTTTTTTAGTTGCTTCATTAGTTAATATTTCATTGATTTCTCTAGAGAGGTTACACGCAACACTTTTCCCCTTTAGGCATTGTCTTGTTGGAAAAAGGGTTTACCTAATCATTATTTTGTGTAGTTGGTTGTTTTCCTTGATTTTGTCATCTGTTATCGTCCTTCTTGATTTGCGCCTATCGCCTGCACATCTGTATGTCATTTTGTCGTACTCTTTTCTCTCCCTTCTCATTCTCACAGTTTCATATGCTATAATCATCTCAACTGTCAAAAAAAATCCTCTCTCGCCTAATGCTGGACCAGTTCTTTCAAAAGAAAGGAAACTAACGGTGACTTTATTCATAGTTACTGTGGTTTCTTTTCTGACCATTCTTCCTTGGATTATTTGGACTGTTATCCACTACCACATATGGAGTAAAGTACATGTATGCCTTGCAGTACTTGACCGCATCAGAGACTCGTTTCAAGTACTACATTTTTTCAGTCCTATAGTCAATCCCCTAATATATGCAGTAAGAATGCAAGAGTTTAGGAAAGCAGCCAGAAAATGCTTTCGATTTAAGACACTAGAACTAGCGCGAGTCCAACCCATGGAACCTCTTGCATTGCATGTACGTACTCAAGCAATACCTGTTGAAGAAAGAACATAAGAAACGGAGAGTTCCTTAGAAAAGCTCTAACAAGCTTGTAGAGGTCTTCTTGCCTAGATGTCTTTTGTTATATTCAATCAATAGACCTATTCGGCTAACTCAATGTTGTACCCAATTCAAACCTTTTGGGAATAAAACGTTTTGTTTCAGGAATTTCCATATCATTTAAATGTGAATGCCACATTGTAATGCAAATGAAATACACAAAGAATCTTATCCCCGGGAGATTTGAATTGGGTACAACATTGAGTTAGCCGAATAGGTCTATGTAAGAAAGATATGAGTGGCAAAATACAGTAAACAATGAAATGAAATATAAGGTAGTCATTAAAAAATAGCACGCAAACTGCGTTGATATAAACATTGTTGGACAACAAAATATAACATTAAACTTTATAGTAACATATATAAAACTTCGCAAGGAGTTAAATATTGGCTGTAAAGTTTGCATTTTCGTGCGCATGCGCATCTTAATGCTTCCTTGAGTAGTTATATAGAGATGAAATTAAGCCTTGTTGGTACCTTCCCCTGCCTTCCGAATGCCTTCTCTTTATTAATATGCATAAGTGTCTTCCTGGATACTAATTTAGTGCCTTCCGTGTGCCTTCCTCCGTATAAGTGGCTTCCTCCATATCTAATTAAGTGGATAGTCGTTTCTTTTCATGTGGAAGAACACAATGGGAACAATAGGCTTGCCTACGCTAACGATGACTTTATGTATAGTTACTGTGGTTTCTTTTCTGACCATTCTTCCTGGGGTTATTTGGATCAATGTCATGTGCCACCACATATGAAGTAAAGTATGCCCTGCAGCCCTTTGCCGCATCAACAGTTTTTTTTCTGCGCTATATTTTCTCAATTCTATAGTCAATCCCCTAACATATGCAGGAAGCATGCAGGAGTTTAGGAAGGCAGTAAGGAAACTTTTTTTTACTGAGACACGCGTGTCCAACCCATTGAAGTTCTTACGTTACGTACGTGTACCGCGAAATACCTGAGTCCTTCTAGTCACTAGATATCATTTGTAATCTTAAATCAATGTAAGACAGATATATGGGCGGCGAAATAGAAAGTAAAAAGAAAAGAAAAGAAAACAATTATGATTAAATAAATAATAAGCATAACGCCGTGATAAACATCGTTGGAAAACAAAATATAACATTGAAGTTGACGTTTCGTTCAACATTTGCTGCAACTTTTGCATTTCCTTATACGCATGTGTGTCTCAATACTCACTGTGATGTAATTATTTCAAATGTCAAATATAATTCTCATTTCAATGTGATGGTTTACCCTCTTTCAGCCGATGATCATGATCATAATCAGCATTTAAGAGGGAATGTGAAGAAAACTACGGCGAATAACAAATTATCATGAAGACGCAAAATTGTGTCAAAATTAAAAAGTTATTTCGCATGCCTCACTAGGTTTTAGTTTTATGAGAATCATGTGCCATGCTCCGAGGTAGCTCGTTTCCACATTCTTAACTTCCGCTTGATTGGGATGTAGCGTCAACATGGCCAATACGTGGAGAGACTACAATGTATACTCAATTTAGTAGACCGTCTTAGTACATTAAGATAAAATAAAACTGAATTGAAAAGAAAAATCGTATAACGAAATAAGAACCTATGCAACCTATGTTGACGTTTTTAAAATTTCCTCTCATTATTCAAAACGGCTTACGCGTTTTGGGTCACGTGGTTCGAAACGTCACAGAAAAACATTGAGACCGAGAAGGCCTAGGAAGACGGTACTACAAGGACAGTACGACAATAGGCCACTTTCGATATATCAGAATTCATCATAAAAATAAGTTCTAGAGGGCACTAACAAAAATAAGATAAGATAAGATAAGCGACTTTATTTAACAAGGGTTACACGTGACAAACTTGTGGCCCTCTAAAAATAAATACGCCAATAAATAAATAAATAAATAAATATTAAATAAATGAATAAATAAATAAAGGAATAAAGATGTTATTCAATTTTTTGTTTCAAGCCTCCCGAGACTCCCCATCAATTTGAATGTTATAATATTTGAAAGAGGCTTATTGTAGTAAAGAAAAGTCGAAATGTTCATTTCGTTAAGCTCGCATGTTGACATTTTCAGAAGCGCAGGGCGTGGCATAAAGTGAATTAAAATAATAAACAGCAATAAGATAAAAGTAAACGTAAAATGGTTCTAAGAAAGAAACGAATAGCAACTCAACTTTGAGCAAAGTTGGTTTCTATGAAATCCGAAGGTTTTGCGTCTTACTCAACTTGCCATTGCTTACTTAAATGGTTAAACCGCCGCTCTGAAAGCTTTTTTAAAATTAACTTCACCCGTTGTTTGGCTCCAAAAGCGATATTACTGTATGTGTAATAACGTCTCTCAAATAAGCAGGTGTTGCATTTATTAGGCTATGATGGACACTACCAGGCTTCCTCTAATATATACTTGAAGTATTAAAATTCATGGTTATTAGTAAGACAGAAAATTTCACCTGTTTATCTTGTGCTAAGTTCCTTTAAGAGGTTACGCACAATTCTAAATCCTGGCGATAATCGGTCAAAAACAGAGAAAAGAAGACAAGGAAATTAAAAATTTTTACCACAGCAGACAGTAAACGAGTTCACTTTTCGACCGTAAGTGTTGATACGTCGTTATTCTACTGATTCTATTGTTACTTGTATAATTACTCGCCATACCTTGTCGATTGATTCTGTTGAAAGGTTTCCTAGAAATAGAACAATACTTATTTTATGGGATCAGCAACCGAAACGTATTTTTCTTGAAACTCTGTCTTTTTATCATTAACAGTAAGAAATCATTTGCGTCAGTTGCGCAAACTGAAACTTTTTCTTTTACGAAAAGTAAGTAAGCGTTGTAAGCTCATCGTGTATATGTAAAGAGACCACTGAATCTAAATTCTAACAAATTAACTACACTCATGCCATAGCCATTTAGCCATATATGAGTTCTTTCAATTTCGATTTTTTTGTCGCGCGTGAGACGTGCGTGGATCGCAGAGCGACGCAGAAACACAAGCTGTGGCTTGTTAAGATATGGTTGGTGTCAGTAATGACGTCATCAAGCGACCAACTATGTCCGTTGTTTTGACTGTCTTCACGGCCGTTTCCGCGATCAAGAAATGGTTCTGACAATATATGTCGAACGTAGAAGTATTTTCTGATCATAAACCACTGAGGCAATATAATTTAGTCCGGTGGCTTCAAAACATGTACAATCACGAGCAAATTCGAGATAAAAGGGCATTAGTTCAGGTGCATCTCACTAAGAATCCATGTTACACTGAGGCAAACCCACAATGAGTTGGTTCTTTCTCCGCCGATGGATCAGAGACTGGTTTCAGCTCCGTAGTCGATTGGCCGCGGAACCCGACAGTTTAATTTGCATGCGAAGACAATTAAAAAAAAGAAGAAGAAGAAGAAGAAGAAGAAGAAGAAGAAGAAGAAGAAGAAGAAGTAGGAGTCCTCACGACAGGATATTCGCTGCTGGTTTTCTTACCGCCACACCGGCAAGGCTTTCTTTGAGCACGACACAGAGTCTCACGAGGGTTTTTAAGAGTGGTAGTTAATTCTATGGGAATTATATCGTGCCATGCCGAGTCTCGTCAGAATCTTATATTTACATGCATTATAATAGATATTTTATCTTACCGCCACCTACACTTGATTACATTTAACTTAAATCAACTTTTATTATTTAAGGCTAAGTTTCTCCCTTCAAAAAGATTTCAACTATATCCGGGAGAGTTGAATCCCAGCTCTAAGGCCCCCTTATATGGAGAAAATATGTCAGGAGAAAATGTGTCCCTAGTACAATGTGTCTCCGAATGTGTCCCCAGGCTCTAAGATAGTCCGCTGAATTGAGAAAGCGTGAACGAGAAAATAAAACGGGAGGAAACTGCCAACTTTTCGCGTGCTTTTTACTTTTCCGTCTTCCCCACTATCTGAGAGCCTGCTGGAACAGGCTAGCGTTTATATGAAGAAAAAGTTGACCCCTTTCCTCCAGGCAACAGCGCTCGCGCTTGCTCTGGTTGTCTACAGCGAGCGCACATTCTCTTATTTTCTCGCCTTGAACGGGAGAAAAGTTGGCCCGGCAATTGATCGGTGACCCAGCCGAAACAAAATTTTGTTTCAGTCATATAAACGGTTCGCCACGTAGTTTTAAGTGAAAAAGGTAAAGGGTGTCCCAAGCGAGTCTACTTCAATTAAGCGCTCTTAAGAGAGCAGACGACTGACTAAAGCTGAAAAATTTTAATTAATGCAAATTTTAGGTTAGCTGTCACAAAGGTCTTGCACGTATGCTAGGGTGGTGCGTGAATTAAACTTAAATATAAGTACACAGTTATGTGCTTTTTGCTAAAATTAAATAGAACTATTAAAGCTGCAACTTATACTTAGATTAAAATCCATGTTTACCGATGATCTGTTGTGTATATTTTGTCACCTGTGATTATAAAAGTCACGTGACAGGCTAGAGCGGTCACCAAGAATAGTTCTGTCGTCTTTAAAGATATTTATTTTTTTGTTTATTAAGCTAGGTCTCAGGCAACGCCGTGCAATGTATGTTTCCCCTCCCAACTCGTCGTAGAGATCTACTAACCCGATGGTTCTGTTCTTTCTTCTCCTTGAACGTTGGTCATTATTTGTAAATTCGGTTTTTTATTTTGTAGCATTCTTTTTTCCCACTGTTTGCCTAGATAATAAAGTTACATGAATGGAAGAGAAAGCAACACTCACTGTTGGATAAATAGTGCATTTGAGGATGAAGGAATGCAGTGTTTTCAATGATTCTTATGTGCTTTCTGAAACAGAAGAATGCCGGATATGGTTTGCAAGTTATGTCACTGCAATAGTTTTCATTGTTTTATTAAACGCCTTTACACTCGCCACCATTGCAAGTAACCACCAATTACGCAAACACAGTACGTACCTGGTAATAAATTTGACTGTGGCTGATTTATTATTTGGAACAGCTGAAGGCCTGTTATCCATATTGGAACCAGCTATCCTTGAGAGGTACCTGCCATGTTCTACAAAAGAGTGGTTCAGCTGGCAAGAACTTATGTTACCGACTTTGTATTTCCTATTTCCGGTAGCCTCCTTAGTCTATATTTAGTTGATTTCTCTAGAAAGGTTACACGCTACAGTATATCCTTTCAAGCACTGCCTTATTGGAGGAAAGGTTTACTTTAGGATTATTGCCTTTAGTTGGTTGCTGGCATTGGTCCTAGCATTTGTGTTTGCTTTTCTCTTTTTGCGTTTTTCGTTTCTATTCCCATACGTATATGCATCTTTCGCTTTCATCACCCTTCTAATTCTCGCAGTCTCTTATCTTAGGATTATTCTAAACGTCAAGAAATATCCTCACTCGGCACAGAATTTTAGCTCGTTACTTTCGGAGGAGAGAAAACTATCGCTAACTTTATTTATAATGACTGTGGCCTCGTTTCTGACCATTCTTCCTGCCGTTTTTTGGGATGCCACAATTAACCACTTGTCGGTAGATCAAGTTTCACCAACGATAGATGATCGTATCTCTTATACTTTTGACGCATTATATTTATTTAGTCCTATCTTGAACCCCCTTATTTATGCTATAAGAATACAGGAGTTCAGGAAAGCAGCTAAGAAAATTATCTGCAAGAAAAAATCAGAATCAATATGGATCGAACCTGTTGAAAGTCTTGCTATGTAGCGGTCTGTCCTTCACCCAAGACGCTGTGCGACTATTAGCCAAGTTAGCCACTTTTGAGTATCATATTCTCTTTCGAATTTCTGTCCTTTGTCTAGTTCTTCTGCCAGCGAAATCCGCTGCACTCACTTGAGTCCCCACAATCCAATAACTGTCAGTTGATTGCTCCGTGTCAGGTACTCCTGATTCCGGAATCAGGAATCTTTGCTTGTGGAATCGAGAATGAATTTTTTTTTTCTGATTTCTGCTTGTGGGATCCAGCGTCCTGGGCTTTGGAATCTGTAATCCAGCTGGAATTATCAGGGATCCTGAAAACGATTGGAATCCGGAATCCAAATTCCACTGACAAGGAATCCGGACCTCCATTGCCTGGAATCCGGAAGCCACAGCGACCACAGTGTGGAATCCAGAATCCTGGGGGGCTGGATTACCTCACATGGGGGCTAAGCTGACCTAGACAAATCAGGGGCAACCAACGAAGGTTTCCTTCTAAATACACTGAAAACACATTTTAGGTTGTCCAAAGTATACTTTTAGATCTCTAGAAATGTGATAAAAACGGCGCTATAAAATTTGTATCTGCTCGGCCCGGCACCCTAAGGGGAACTTGAGTCTTTTTCGAAATTACAAGGGCTTCAGTATTATTTTCCCGAAAATTTCAGTTGCAATTTTTGACATATTGCGAAAGTGAGAATTTTTCTAATTTCTCTCTCCATCACATTTTTGAATCCGAAAATTTCAGGTTTCCTTTTTCTATGAAAAATAGCCAAAACTGGTGAATGAAGTGTAAAAAATGAAAGGTCAGAAAATCGTAAAGAATTTATGACATTAGCATCAAAGATTGGACATGAAAGGAAGGGTCAACTAGAATTTTTTAGCCGTCTGCAGGTAACAGAAAATTCTAGGCAATATTTGCTTCTCCAGATAATTTACAGAACACAGTCGTTGGGTGCGCCCGATAGATAAGATTGTAGATGAAGGTACATTAGTATTATTCAACTACAGTTGAACCCAGTGCATAAGCGACCAACCAAAGCGCGAAGACTTTGTGGTGGTCGCTTTTCTAAGTAGAGGTCCCGAAACACCTACTTGGAAATGAGTTCATTGAGTGCAATTGCAAGTTACAATATATGTAGTTCAATGAGACAAAAGGTTAATAGATCGGTTGGTCCCTTATAAAAGGTGGTCATTTACGTGAGATTCCCGAGTTTTTCTGGTGGAGAGAGGCGACGACCAGGAATATGTCTGCGTTCGCAGGCTACAAAGCTAATCGAGTAGAAAAATTTGGGGGTTTTAGGATAGGGCGCCACTTATACAAGGCGGTAACTTACAATATTGTCATACATATTTTTAAAGGCAGTCCTTACTTTCAAGTTTCTTCTGGAGTTGAAATCTGTTGATCAATATAGTTCGGCATGTGTAAAAATAATAAAAAAAGTACATATAAATAAATAAATTCTACTCTCACTGCATGACAAGCTTCAAGTCATTGATAGAACTTACTTTAAATTGACTCGAACTAACTGCAGTTGTAATATAGTAAGCACTTAGGAAACGTATTCCATATCATTGTCGTGTTGAGGAATAGAGCTCCGAGACAAGTCCCCTTTGGAGGATAACAGACGCAACTACCTTTCTTGTGTGCGTAGAACATTTTGAGAGGCACTTCAAAGAAAATCAGTAGTGTGTATTAGTCCATAGAAAGAAAATTCTAAGTCAGAGTAAAAATTACATTAAAGTAAACAACAACTTAAGTTTTATTTGTTTGTTTGTTTTTGTGGGAGGGCCGTTTTTTTTTGGGGGGGGGAGGGGGGGGGCTGTTTTTATGATACAGGGATGACTTAGTAGAGATGGAATGAACTCTTTTCAGAATGCAAGTCATTCCGGTATCATTGGAATTGCCCTTTTCTTGCTGTTGCTGCGGATGTTGATGTTTTTTTTGTTTGTTTGTTTTACGAACGAAGCCCATGTCTGAAGATATTTGCCACGTGATAATCGACGACTCACGTGGCTTAATGTCGCCGGAGCCTAACATTGTGGACCTTAAGGAGTATTCAGGGCCAAATACGGGGGGACTTACCGAGCCCCCGTAGGGTTTGCCTAAAGAACTAAAACCCGGAATCCGGAACGGAGGCCCAAGCCGAATGACTCTGAAGTTAAGTGATAAGGGTCAGGAAACTGGTGCAAACTGAACTGAAACTTGATTCACTCAGTCTCCTAACCCAAATCACTAAAACTTNAAATCCTAGGAGAGGCAGGCAAGCAAGAAATTTTACAACAAATGCTCCGAAAATTCTAGATCTCAAATCGTCTTCCGAACAGATATTTTCCCGAAAATTGCCGTTGGGTGCCCCTGTGAACTGAAACTTGATTCACTCAGTCTCCTAACCAAAATCACTAAAACTTCAGAGTCATTTGGCTTTCGGCGTAATCCTAGGGGGACTTTCGAGAAACGGGCCCCAGGTCTCTCTTTGAAGCAGTTGTAGAGTTGGACAGTAACTCATTTCCAAATTGCCTCTGACACTTAGCCATACGTTTTGTCTTTTCACTTTCACTGTACTATAATTGTGGAAGAAAAATTTAGCAGACTTCTCTTGTAGTGGGTGTGGCAGAATCTCCGAAGGTAATTGTTGAAAAAGCAGAGGATGTGCCGCTATCTCTGTCATCTTTATGGTTTGTAGGTGGGGAGCCAGAATCCTCACGGTTATGATTGCTCTCAGCAGTGCTTGTTTGCATTCTGACACAAAGTAGTATAATAAGGACAGATTTCTCTTTCCTTTCTTTTGCGGCATCTCATAATTGGCCAAAAAGAGCATTAAGGTCATGCAGGAAGTTTTTAGGTAGTTCAACCGGTTTTACAGGTCTTTTAGTTATTTTAAGGTCGATGAATGTAATGGATTTTGATTGGTTGACTAGAACTAAGTTGATTCATGTTGTCGAATTTAAGGAAGAGCGCTAACTGCGTGGGGTTGGACGCATTTGACTAGAAAATTTGAGCGTCATGCCTTTGAGCGTCACTCTGAAAATCATAGCTTTATATACCTTATTATGTTTCATGTTTAATTTCTTTACTCCTATTTATTTTGCAAGACATGATGCAACAACAACAAGTTCTAAACGGTTTTAAATGTATGGGAGCCTGGCCTTAAGAAGTAACCAGGCCTCTAAATTAGTAACCAAGCATTCAAATGAGCTGAATCCTGAAGGCCTTTCAGGAAAACAGTTGAGATTTGAGACATTTTTTCTAATAGACTTTTTTTGAAATGAAAGGAAGATAGACTTTCTTGCTTTATAGATATCATCTAAGCGCATTTATAAACGCATTTTTGGAAAGAATTAAAACTTTAATTTGACGTCTCGTATGTTCCAACATACATCTTTGATAAACTGTTAAATAATAGCAGATTTAAATGTAGAATCAGCAACTAATTAAAGAAACAATAGATGACATATGGCAGGAAAATTAACATATTAATAAAACATGCAAACTAAAAAAGGTCAAGTTTTTCGATTGCTGGCATTTTTATTTAGAGAAGGTTTTAGATCCTTAGCCAGCAGAGTCTCCTTTATGTTGCAATGGTTGTCCGACCGTCCTCTTGCCAAAATTTCGAAATGGTCCCATCTCAAGTTATGACCAGTTGACGTGAGCCATGGTCTGCAATAGCTGATAACTGATTGCTAATTGTAATGGCTTTGGAGTGTTCAGTTGTTCTACCTTATTCTTACTAATTTTCGCGCGTACTTAATTTCGCGAATATTCGGGAGGCGGATTTCGCGAGTACTAATTTACGCGATTGAAAATAAATAAATAAATAAAATAAAGTAAAAATAAAACTAGAGAAAGGGTACTATATTTTGCGATTTTGTCTTCGTTTTATTTTCCTAAATCCTGTGCAGAGGGCACTTGTCACAAACCAATAAAACATATATATTTCGAAGCAAGATTATAAACTTACAACTGCCCTACACAGAACCTTATATTTTTATGAACAAGACAAAACAAAACTGCTTGCTGTCTATGCTGTCTATGCAATGTATATCATACAGGTCAGTGTTTAAAAGGCAACTTGAGATGTTCAGTAAATGTGCACAGTACAAAAACACCCGGACTCATAACATTTTTAAAATTCTTACTGTTTTGTTTTCGAAAATGGTATTAATATTCGCGTGTTTAAATTTCGCGCAATCTTTTGTTTGCGCGTATTAACTTTCGCAAAAATCGCGAAATTTAATACAATCTACGCACCCCAGTTTGCTTTTTGTAGCGCTACGCTAAAAAAACACCCGTAAAACCACGCTGCAAGGTCTGTTTTCTGCCGCTTTCGTTGTCCTTTGCAAACAACAAATTTTTCCAGTTCCAGTTTTCTGATTCCTGGTGCGTATATCGCGCATATTAATGGACGAAGGCAAACTAGCGCTTCTAGCAAGAAACACAAATTTTCCGCACATTTATGCATCAGTCAATTCCACCTGCGCCCAGCCTCCCCCCGGGCTGACCCCCGGGCATTAGCACTTTTTTGCCTTGGATGGCAAATTCCCGGGGGTGGGGACTCTTGAGCTGTAAAATCCCCCGGGGTGGGGACGAATAAAGAGAGCAAATGTTCCGTCCTCCGTCAACACTGCAACATTTTTCATTGATCGCACAGTCAAATAATGCCATTTTTAGCATTTTAATGTGCGATTTTTTGTTTCAATTATCGTCTTCCTTTGGAATAGCGAAGAGGAGTCTAGTTAAAACTTCACGCCACGACATTTACCAGTTTTTGGTTTTAGTATTGCTATAAAATTATTGACATTAAAATTAATAGAGCGCTGTAACGTTATATGTTATGAATAGTTATATAAATATGAAAGGATGTTCTTTAAATAATATCAACAGAAATTTGATTCAATAACCAAAAAACGTTGATTCACTTCGATAGCTCCAATTTCGCTACGTAATTCTGGCTTGATAAGCAATGAAGAAATGTATATATTGTAGTTAATTTTTTATCGCAGGTAATTTTTATTTTTCCTTTGTTTCAACTTCGTTAGCATACATTATCATACCCCAAAACAAAAGAAAAACAAAAATTACCTGAGATAAAAAATAAACTACAACATATACATACATGTAAAATCAAAAACATGCATTTACAGCCCTCTACAATTTATTCTTGTCCTTGAAAGATGAACCATGCAATCTACTTTTTTCCAGTAAAACCTTCTGTGTAGTTACATTCTAAAAGGAAACCGTGTGCGCGTCAACAGTTCGGGAATAGCCCGCGGGTTGGCAAATGCTCGGCCCCCGGGCAGTGCAAAAATTTGCAAATACCCTACCCCCGGGACTGACAAAGTGGGCAAATGCCCCGCAGTACCCCGGGGGGAGCTGGGCGCAGGTGGTATTGACTGATGCATTATTTAGATAACGCTTCTCACTTTTGTTTGTCATTGTGTTACACGCGCACAGAAAGTCGCTCCAGCGACCCATGAGGATAGCCCACGTTCGATACATCAAAATTATATCATGACGTCGAGGCTTTCTGGTCATTTTTGTACATTTGGTTTGATATTCTTTGTGTTCAAATCTCTTCTGGTAATTGCAAGACAATGGAGTGGTTGAAAATTTGCAATTTAGATCCTAACGCCTCGGATTCATGTTAGAATTTTAATGCATCGAACGTCAGTTATTGTCAGTTATCATATAAAATATAAGGACACATTAGAGAACACGTGACGGGAAATAGAACATGTGGACAACACAAGGTCATTGTTTTGTCTTCAAAAGCAATCAAATTGGCTTGATCTATTTACGTTAAGAGTTGCTTCTTGGTAGGCGTATGTAACGCTGGGCTGTCATTGAATTAAATTGCGTCAGTCTTACCCCAACAAGGAAGAGTAATGATTCACGTTTGCCTTAGGTTGCATGCATAAATTTCACCTGCTTATCTGTTCTCCATGCAAGGATCTTAATCTATCGTGAAGTGAATGCAAACACGAGAGCTCCTCACAAAACTGTTCATAAAAGGAAGGAAGAAGGTTAATGTGAGTAAGTATACCAAGAGGAAAAAGTTTAATCAAAAGCTAAGTGGTTGCAGTGACTAATTCTGTGTATGTTTGGGATGATCACTCGTGTTTTTCCATAACTAAGTATAAGCAAGTAGTCCGTAGAAGGACCTGCCGCTAGTTCACAGCTGTCTAAAAAAGTCATCCAAACCCACTGTCGATTATGAAACGTGTTATTCTTTCAGGTTAAGAAGGTACAAGAATATTTCCGTTAAAGCTCAGTCACTAAATAAGAATTAATGCGGAATTATGCGTCCACAAAGCGAAATATTCAGATGTACTTTTACAAAATATGTTGACCTTTTTTTCCATGTCGACGCTATTCGATTATATGATTAGCTAGCCTTATAGTCAAATAGTTCTCAGCTGTATTAAATGTTTTACTGTTTTATCAGTTTTTCAGCCAGCGGAATCGATTAAGAGCTCGAGGATTTTCGGCGAAGTTACTTGAAAAGCACCTGTTAGCTGTGTAATTGAAGGCTGTTCAGACAGTTTATGTCAAAGGTTTCTATGACAACCACAGCTTACCTACGGTAGTATTAGATCATTCTAAAGAATAGGTTCTCGTATCTGTTAGACAGCGTTCATTGCGGGAGAGGGCTATGAGGATTTTTCAGTTTGGAAAAACATTTTAAGAGTGGCCCCTAATTTACACGAACCCAATCCTCACCCCCACCCCCCTCCCTCCCCACAAAAAATAGACTTTCATTGGATACAATCTAGTGCAGCTCTACCCATCCTTCTCTACCTAAAAGAACAACAACAAAAAAAGACTTTAACAACAGTAGCAAATTAAACAATAACATACTCAGAAACAGAACAAAACAACGCGGCAGGAGAACAAAACAAAAATATATTCAGAGAAATAGAAGGGGCACAATTAACCTGAGAAATTTTTGTTTCGCTTTGTATTAACATTCCGGCGGGCAAGGCGAAACGAAAAGAGAGCCTGATACAAACCTTCCACGAAACGTCTGCCGCCTACTTTTTTGATTGATTGACATTTGCCGAATCAGCCAACCAAAATTACTTCCGTTGCTTGTTTTTCTAGTATGCAAATTTTCACGCGTGGGAAAAATGCAGACTGGTTGACTTAAAAAAAAAAAGTTTTATCTGTTAATTTTTTTACCTAAAAATAACTTGAACAGTCAGCACAATCACATTTAACTTCTTGCGAGATTAAGGGAGATCTCGAAGGTTATTTCTGTTGGCATAGAAGGTAAAAAGTTTTCGAAAAGACGGCGACACGATGTTCTACTAGTTTTATTATTTTGGCTAGGCGCGCTCGAAATTTCTATTTTTCTGTTGCCTTAATATTTTCCTCGGCAATTTTCCCCGACTTTCAGTACATAAATCTTTAAAAACAAAAGCAAACAGCTGACGAGCGAGGACATCAGTTTCCCTGGTTTATTTTTTACAGAGAGCGATGACAAACAACCAGTCTGTTGCCTTAAGCCACCAGCTTTTATAATAGTGCCTACAAACATTCCTTGAACAGCGATGCGATATTTTTCGTCTAATACTTCACAGTTGGCGATTGAGGTTTCTTTCGCAGTGAGCCTCCGCTTGCGTACTCCGTTCAGAGAAGCTATTCCCGGCAAAACTTTTAAATGAACCCAGTTTTAAGATGGACAGGATTTTGATTTGCACTCGTTTGTTGGTAAATCAAAAGGCACCTTGTTAGCGGTCAACAACTTGCAGAGAGATTCAACTCCGCGATACACTCTCATTAGTTCCGTAAATACGC